TTTTGAATTATTTAACATCGGGAATTTTGTTTTATTGTATTACGTTTATATTTCTTTTGTTATTTTATTATTGTTATATGTTGTCGTTATTTCATTATTTCGTAGAAGGCATGTGATCAAGTGGCTTGGGCAACAACGTTGACCATTTTTTGCTTCTCCAAGAATGTCAAAACTCGAAAACTTTAAATTTTAATACCGTATCGTCGCGAAATAACGCTCATGAACCTTTAAAACATCATATTTTGGTCCCGTACGCGTTCCGAAATGATGCACACTTTGTATAACGTGCGTTAATGGATATAGTCTAAAATTTTGACCGTTTATTTCAAAATAACGCACATGACGTCTCGAAATAATGCACAGATGGGTAAAATAACAGGGATCACAGTGTTCACAGGGTTCACAGGGATGCGTTTGTCTATATAGTAAGAATTATTGTTCTCTTTCTAATAACTTTTTATATAAAAACATAATAAGATTAGGTAATTGGTCAACATTTGTTCTACGATAAAAGTACATATTTTATAAATCTAAATAAATATTTAAGTTACAAGAATTATTCTTATTTATGCTAATTCCCAATTAACCAATAAGTTTAATTGGATACAAGTTCTAAATCTAACTTTTTACAAATTTCATTACATTTATGATTTGCTAAAAAACATCTAGCAATTCCTTCTTGGCCTAAATTTGTTTGTCCAAATCTTGAATTATCAACACAATGTATCGCCGGATCAGTTAATAAGAACTTATTATTAAGTTCAATTCCTTGAAGATCACAAACTACTAAATATCCTTTAGTATGTTCATATGTAAAATGAGAAAATGCTTCAAGAACAGGACGAGATAATGTAATTATCCCACTATTTGTGTTGAATCGCTTAAACTCTGCGCCACAAAGTTGTTCTTCTAGAATATAATATTGAGTTTTGTTATTAATGATAAGGCGCACTAGTCTTGCACGAAGGAAGTTTACTGGTGAAATCTTTTTTGTTTTTGTAATTAAATTAAATTTTTTTGAAAGATAATTTGTTACAGTAGAGATTTCTATAGCTTCAAGATATCTTTTAAAAATATCATTTGAAGTATTTTGAATGTATTTTTTCATCACCATTGTTTCTGACGGTCCGTTATTTGCACTAATGGCAAAATATGCTCGTTTTTCAACACCAGTTGAAAATGGACGTGGTGCAATCTTAAAAGAAAACTTTAGGGAATAGAGTTTCTCCTTACTGAAGAATCTTTGATCTTTAAGTACATCTAGAGATTTAGGAATATGATAACATAGTGTTTCACCGATTTGCACTGGAAGAGTGTCCCAATCAGGTACTTTAGAGTCTATAGAAATTTTTTGTCGAGAAGAATACACATCACTA